ATTAAGTGAAAATTTTTTTTTGTGAAAATTGCAAATAATTAAAAAATAATTAAGTAAAACTGAAATATTTTAAATAAGTAAAATTTAAAATTTAAAAAGTCTTAAAATGTCTTTAAAAAATGCTTAAAAATTTTTTTGAAATGAATTCCTTAAAAAACCTCTAAAAAAATTCCCAGAAATTTCCTAGAAATTTACCAGAAATCTCCCAAAAATTAATTAAAAAAGTTAAGTTAAAAGTTATATTTAATGAAAGAAAATATTGAAAGTTTAATGAACTTGATTTCAATTGGTATATCAAAACTTAACATAATTACTGGCTAAAGTATGGGAAATTAGAAGAAGAAGATTAAAATCTTCACTCAATTCGGGCTATAATTGAGACTTTTGAAAAGAGTTGGCCCTTTATTAGTAAAGGGAAAGAATCCAGTATTGATTAAATATACATATTTACAAATTTATTTACAATAAAAATTTACAAGATAATTCCTTTACTCTTCTATATCCTCCATTACCCTCCAGCTAAGGTTTAAGGTAATGTTATCATACCAAAAAGAGAGCCAAAAAATTATAATGTAAAGTTAATGCCTGCCTTTTTAATATATAAATTAATAAATTTTGTTGGTACTTGGTTATCAACTTGAACATTAATTAGCTTTATTATCTCTTCCTTTAAATCTTCTATTTCAGTACATATATTTTTTATTCTGATTATTTGGCTACGAAACGTGTTTTCTATTACTTTTCTAGAGATATTAGAGTTTCAATTAATTAGCTTAATAGTATGAAAATGGAAATTCCTTCTTTTATCATATAATTTAATTTTGCTGTGTTTAATAATTAGAAGGTCTAGGTATTCAATAGTATCTTGATTCGTATTCGTTTTATTAAGTGGTAAACTATTTGGGTAAATTTTGAATTGCTCAAACGCAGAATTATTATTGAAAGTTATAATATCATCTATGTATCTAAATGTATGTGCAAATAGCTTTAATTCATTCTTATTTAAACTTAGTTGGAATTTATATTCATAAGTAAAAAGAAATAGGTTACAAATTTGTGTAGAACTGTTTGCTCCCATAGGAATTCCTCTCACTTGCTGAAAGATCTTATTATTGAATTTAATGTAGTTATTAAATAATGCACAATTCAGATAAGTATTCCATCTTTCAATACAAAGGATGTCAAGTATGTCAGGGAAAAGTTGTGGGAGTTGCATTAAACTAGTAAAAATTTCTTCTAATGGTAGAGAAGTATTAAGGTTTTCAAAGTCATAGCAGTTAATGTTCTTGATTTTTAAACTTTTAAATCTGTTGAGAACTGGAGCATTATTATGAATAATCCAACTATAATTGTGCTATTTGTTAACGAGTTGTTAAATTACGTAAATTACAGATTTTTTTTAAGTTTAATTGCAAATAAGTAATCTATATTCTTTTTATAATTATTTCTACCATTAGCAATAAATCTAAATTTGAGTGGTGATTTATGAAATTTTGGGAGAGCATATAGATTTTCTAATCTATTGTAGTTAGATGGTTGTGAAATTTGCAGTTTCTTATGAAATGCTTTTAGCTTTTTTGCAAAAACATTTTCTTATATATATATATGTATGTATATTTGATATCCATCAGTATATATAAACTTGCTTCAACTTATTTTGCCATTTCTGGAAGTACTGGAAGATTTTCTCTTTCAGTATATTTCATCTTTTGGGATAACTCGAATTATCTCAAAACTTTGACCTCGTAGAACTGTGAAGTCACAGGATATGAAATATGTTAAGTAAGGTATTTATAGTTTAACCGCGATTACCGCTACCATTAGCGCAAATACGCATGTGCCATTCGGACCGATTTATTCACTAAACAGGATGGAAGAAACATTAATTATGTCGGAGGGAATTGTTTCCGTTATTTTCCTCCTGTTTATTTTCAATGCGTTCAATGATTGAAAATATGGTGATCAACATTCATAATTAATTTTTTGATCATTTTGTGCATTTATTTATTGGTAAAAATATTAGTGTTTCCAAATTTAGTTTTGCTGTATATACATAATTTCATGATAAATTGTAATAAATAATTTTTATTGTGTAACAGTTGTTATCAGAATTATTTAATTATTATACTTTATTGCATGATTTTCATTATCATATCATCATTACAATGACTTATAATAAAATAATTCTTACAACTGATTATAACAAATTTTACAAGAATAAATCATTATAATTAAAGTGTAACTAATAATAATTATATACCTTTCTTATCTTTGAGCTAAAATATATGTACATTGACACACGCTGAAGAATTTCTTAATAATTAGTTACAAAAATTATACGAGAATTAAATGTAATTATAGTTAGTTAATTAGTTCTAATAATTATATTATGATAAGTAATTAGTATATTTTTTATCTTTATGCTAAAATCTATATGCATTATTATACATATTTGGATTACGAGGATGGGAATTAAATTTAAGAAAAAGAACAAAAAAATTCTTATATAAAAAATCACAATATTGGCAAATTTCAAGTTAAATCAACTACAATCAGGGGGAGATGGGGGGAGGAATCTCTTGATCTTTTTTTAATTCCCCTACCCGCCAAAAAAAATTCTGAAAGCTTTCAGATTTTATACAACGCGCAAAAGGGCTTTTTTTTTTTTTTTTTTTTTCCCTTCGTTTACACATACACGCTTTGAGAGTATTTGGGCTAACTTTTCTTTGGTTAAAATCATTTTGAAACAGCATATATTTAGAATTTCCGATAGACAGTCTTACGCTCTGGAGATAATTTTTTTTTTTTTTTTTTTCCGTACAGTGTTGCTACTCCTTGCTTTGAAATCGTTGAGTTTTCTTAAATAAAAAAAATCGTTAAAGTTTTACAAAATAGGAAACAGGTAATAAAACAAATTCGAAATTCAAACTACGGGTTCCAAGTTTCCATATTCGGGTGGAGGAGTACGCTATTCAAAATTTGATAGCTCTAGGTACCGCTGTTTTTTTTTTTTTTTCCCACAATGCGAGAAAAATACATACATTCATGCAGATCTTTCATTATTTAATTTCTTTAAATATAATATAGGGCGATAATGTTTGGTAGCAACAATTTGATAAGTGATTCAACGGTTTTAGGGGTTTGACGCAAAATGCCATTTCGAGACTAATAGGCCTTCTGGGCTAACGCTCGTTTGAACTGGAAAAAAAAAATTGGTTCAAAAAGCTATTATACTTTGGCTATTACATTTAAAAAAAAAATCTTATTTTAGAGAAGCAACAATGAAATATTGCAAATCAATGCGAATATGAAACAACCGACAACACGAGGACTTTTCCTTCACTAGTAAATCCTCTTTCAGACGAATTTTTTCTTTCCTGGCCATTCTGTGCACTAGTGACGACAGGATTAGACATGTTTTGAAAATGACGTTAAATTCCCATATTTACATGATATAAACAATAGAAGATACAATTTAATTGCACCAAAAGCATGCATTTGAAATACGTATATTTTCGAAGTATCTTAACTTTCTCGCTCTCCCCAATACACATTAGTTAAAAGAATCGTAAAATTTCCGAATTAAAAATAAAATAAATTAAAAAAAAATCTGTCATCTGAAACTAAGAGAATGATATGCAATCAAATAAATTTACAAATTTATAAAATTCAGTTTATTAAAAGACTAGAAACATTATAAAAATACATATTAACACGAATGGAAAATTATTCCATTCACCTACAGTGCAAATTACAAGTAAAAAAATATCACATTTCTTTTTCTGAAGGCAGTATAAAAATAGCTTCAGCTCAATTTACACAACAAAACAAAAAAAGCATAAAATTTACAATGAAAAATAAAAATTTAAAAATAATATGCTGAAGTTGTTTCCAGAAATATATTTCTTTGAAGAATTTAATTTTAGACTAGAAAGAAATATATTTCTTTATATAATTTAATTTTAGACTAGAAATAATAATCAATAAGGAAATTTACAAAAAAACAATGTACATTTTCGTATTAAACGTTTGGGAAATAAATAGTGCAGAATTTACAAAAAATCAAATATTTGAGTAAATGTAACAATCAGAATTTATTACTATATATTTACAAAGGCACAATATGATGGCATTACTTTGACGCTTATTTCATAAATAAAAATTAATAAAGTATCACATTTTTCCTTGGAGGGCGACTTTTTTGAAAATTTAAGTTTCTCTAAATTTAAAGAATTAAATAAATTCTTGTCCATCCAAGACACTAATTTGTTTTATTTATATATGAGCAATTCAGTAAATGTCTTTTTATAGTCAGAATTCAAATTAAATGTATCTATTAACATTAATCTTAGATTTCAATATAAAATTGAAATAAGGTAATTTTGAATTTATTTGAAAAATATTACTAAGAATTACTTATTGATAGTTAAATCTTGCTGATAATAATTTTTCGAAAAGCTTATTTGGTTAATCTTTGGATTATGGTAACTTGGCGATTTTTTGGCGAAAATTTGGCGACCAACCCTGTTACAGCAACCTGCTAGTTTTTGTTTGGACGCCATTTTGTTTTCACGAAGTAAAGGCTTTTTTTTTTTACTCAACATTTTTTTCCAACAATCTGCTAGCCGAATTACGACTTTTATGGAACAAAAGTGCTTAATCATGACGAAGATTAGGTGCGAAATTGGGAGAAAGTGCAGAATCGCCCACTGCTTGCCGCGTTTTTAAGAACTGCACATACACGGTATCATCCATGTACACGTCGACCTAATTTTCACTTAAAAAAAATCCCAGAATTGCACAAAAATGGCATTGCGCACACTCTTGACTTTATCCATGTACACTGCTAAAGTCCTAGCTAGTAACATTTATCGTCTTACCAAAATGTCGCCAAACTACCTGTTACCATATTCCAAAGATTAGCCGCTTATTTCTTTGTAAGGTTTATTTTAATTTCTCTAATATTTAATTTTTAGTTAAAGTTACTTTCCTGCTCTTTCTGAATTTCATCTTACAACTTCCGGCCAGAACGTATTTGCAGAATCGCGGTCAAATGCAAATGAGGAGAAAGAGTATTTAACTGTGAAGTTTTGATGACTTCGTTAGAGAGCCAGAGATTCTATGCAGCACGAATTAGCCTTTTGGCTGTATTCTCTCTAAAGCTATTAGTACGCTCGGCCGTACTTTAGGCCCTTGATAGCTTCGCCGTTAGTTAGCGTTAAGGGGCCAACTCTGTTAGAATTTTGATAGCTTCGGCTATATCTTTTTATTTAAGTTTACTTAAGCTTTATTCCTTAGTTTTCCTGAATTCAAGCCCGAGTGGAAGCTTTATTGTAAACTCCAAGAAGGAGCCGACTGTTAAACTTTATTTTGGAATAATAAAGGGTATTTAACCCTTCTCGAGTATCTGTTCTCCGTCTACTGAAATAAAGCGATTATTCGCTTACCAGTTCTTAAGGTTTCTCAACTTTAGCTGTAACTTAAAAGATAGGAATCTTACATCTTATTGAAATAATAATCAGAAACTTATTGTATGAAATTGTGTTTTATGTTCATGTGCTGCTGGCCGTAGAATTTTCAATAGCTCCAAAACTCTCGTTTTATTCGTCCAAAGAATGGACGGTTCTAAAACAAAGACAAAAGGTATGCCTGAATGGACGCTTAGACTTTCTCATACCTGCTTACTCATATCTGCTTTCTCATACCTTAAACTGCTGCCTTTCTCATACCTGCAGAAATTATACTTGAGAAAGAGTTTCATATGAGAGCTCAAGAATACTTTTTAAAAATCTTAAGAACTCACAGAAAAGCCAAATCAAAATATGATAGTATTTCAGCTGGGTATAAGTTAATTGCAAGCTTTAACGTATTAATAATTTTAGGACGGTTATTTTTATACTAAATCACTTTTATCTACATTATCTTTCATTATACTTATAAAATTTTTGTAAATACTTCTTGTAATTGTATTTTGTTTTTTACTTTGAAAAATTAGCTATATATTCGTAAAATATGTTTCACTGATTCAAGTTCATGCCACCATCAAAGAACTCCAAACAAGGTTTTTCATAGTCAGTCTATAGTCAGTAAGCAAGCTCCTATAGTCAGTATAGCTAGCCTATAGTCAGTAAGCAAGCTCCGCTCCCCAAGGTCTGTAAGGTCTTCCTGTAGAGCTACCGTGCTGGTTAAAAGGACCGGCACCATAACCCCCACTTGAAAACCCATGTCCACCAAGATACTGGTTAGAACTAGCCATCTGTGGTAGTGAGGGTACCATAGCAGGTCCTGGTGGTGGATGCTGGACTAGCGCCATACTTGCTGAAGGTGTGGATGAGGTATTGACGGTGGACGGATTTGAGACACGTGGATAGTGAGTTGCAGAGCCGAATGCATTATCCATTGGTTGTCCTAATCTAGGAGGTTCGGAACAGTTATAAGTACTTTGTAAAGGAGCCTCGGTGACTTGTGGTCCCATTGAGGCTGAAGGACCTGGGTACTGAGGCGTAGGAGCCGGGGGAAGAGTAGACCCAAATGTAGAAGGGTTCCAGGGATGCTGGACGGAAGTTTTCATAGACAGTTCTCTCTGGGCCGAATAGCACTGAAGGTGGCTCATGAGTCTGACCCTCAGTGGATCTTGCAAGTCCATTCCTTCAATTGCCACAAGGTAACGTGCCACCTCCGAAGCACATTCGCGGAAGCCTATGCTGTGATAATCCATGGCAAATTTGTGAGGATCAAAAGATAAGGCATCGAAACCTAGGGAGAGAAAAAAGTGTGAACGTGTGAAAAACTCATTGAAATGACTACTTAAAATTTTAATAAATTAATTTCATACGACTGATATATTTTAGCAATTCGAATCTCATAGAATTACGAGAGTAGGTATATATTGCAAAAAATATCAGTTGTCTCTTCCAAAGTATTGAATAAACCTTTCTTTTCTCAGAATAACCGTAGAAATCTATTTAATTTTTTTTCCCACTGTTTAACAGGCATTCTGGAATTAGAGCAGATTCTGAAAGTTTGATGTGTGCCTTTTTTAAATCACCCTGCATAAGACTGTCTTCCAGCAATTTGGCAAACAGCATTTGTTGAAATATTGCTATTTGTGAGATATAAGACTTTTAGTTCAGTTTTGTAATTTTAACGATAACTGTTATCAAGCTGAGTGATTTACAAACTAGTAAATACTTTTAATATTTTACATCTTTCTTTTATCTTACCTTTCCATTTACTGAAAACAAAAATGCCTTTTTGAAGGAGTTTACAAATTTTTACAGCAAAACAACTGGCTTCAGGATCATGTATTCTACGGGAGGTAAAAAATCTGATGTGGACACCACATGACTTCCTTGTACGGAATATTAAATTACACGCATTTTTTCTTGCATTTTATTTTAATTTATTGGATTGCATTAAATCTACTTCGTCGATAGCGCATAAACCACAATAGAATAAATGCACTCTTTAAAATTCACTATGGTAAATGGTAACAACAGACAGATTAAATACGAAAGAATAGTTTCTTACGTTTTTCCGAATGGCAACAAAACTCGAATTGAAAAGTGAAACAACTCAAAATCGTGTTTCGACAGTTCGTGCTTTTAGCCTATTGGGTTAAAAAAGTATTCAAGCTTTTGGACTGAATTTGTTTCGATATTTTTTGTCTTATCATACAAAAATCAGCTTCTCATCTGGATGCTCTATTCTGTTGTTATAAAATATCAATTTGAATAGAATCGAAGTTATAGCATTTACTTTCACTAAGTTATTCCATGCTAGTTTGAAACTTATTTCGTCATCTTGAAAATGTAAGCTATCGTTTTTAAAAATGAATTAAGTTAACTAATACAGCTATCTTGTCAGAAATTATGAAAGCGCGTAAATTTAAAGTGTAGAAATGGCGTAACAGGGTAAAATAAAAATTTCATGTTGTAGACAATATAACATTAAAAGCAGAAAAAACACTATGATCGAGTGGTTAAAACCGCTGCTTACTGGTAGTTCGACCTGCTTTTGGTTCGAACCCCGGCGAACGGCCTGGCTACATGGTTGGTTTTCATGCTTTTCCCCCTATGCATAACGTGAATACGGAGTAGTTTCCATCAGAAAATCCTTCACGAAGACATCAAAGGAGCCGATAGCTCCATGGCTTTACCTATCTATCAAATAACACGAAAAGTTCGTGCTTTAGGTGTTGCCTTTTTTTCATAACGCGAGGAACAAACATACATACATACAGATTTTATATTATTTAATTAATTAAGAATACGAAAAATGCTTGCATTTTATTTAAATTCGTTTCGATTCATTCAAATGAGATGCATCTCGAAAGAGCAGTTGCAAAAATATTATTATTTTCTTCAAATACAAAATGATTCTATAAAAGATAAAATAATTACCTTTAGCATGTAACATTTTCAAATGATCAACTGTAAGTTGTAGAATTTCTGCTTTTTCTAATTTCGCCGATCCCTAAAATTAATGAATAAAATATGAAGAATACTTTAATATGAATAAAATAATGTTATGAATTTAAAACTATATTTTAAGAATTAATTATATTTTTAAGAATTAATTTTATAACGTCCTTGGAAATTTTGGAAAAAAATGCAACCAAAATTTTCTGAACTTTCAAGATTTCTAATACAAATTTATGAAACAGATTTCATTAGTTCGTATTAGAATTCAGCAGGTTATTTAACTGCAGTTTGTTGAATTTTTTTAAGGAAGAAACATTCATTTTACCTGTTTCTCAAAAGCTGCAGGGACTAGTCTTCTGAGCTCGGAAAGAGAGCTGTTAATTCGATCTCGTCTGCGTTTCTCTATTATCTAAATGAAAAATACACAAATAAAATTAAATTAAAAATTAAAAAGAAAGTGTTTTTTTAATATAGAATTTACACACACACAAAAAAAGGAGGGGTTGCAATTTAATCTCTGTATTCAATTTTTAGGCTCACATCTGAGACAATTTTAATTTCTGTGGCTAAAAAAAATAAAGGTAGATCTATTTGTTTAAGAAAGAATGTCTAGAAAGTCGAGATACAAAACATAAAAGTCATGTATTTAAAAGAGCAGTGTTATACAATAAAGAAAAGATTGCCGTAACATATTCTTTGCATATATATAATAAAGAAGTTTTCTAGATCGTTTTCGCACAAGTGTATCGAACAGGATGGATATTCCGTGATAAAAACAAAGAAAACAGTTGTTTGGTTCTTTTGAAAGTGTGTTTGTATGTGAGACCCGATAGTGTTTTAATCCAGGCTTGCTTGCAGCAAATATTACCTACAAATGAAGTTGCATTTGTTTTTTTAGGATACGAAAGTACAGTGAAAACAAAATTAGATGTGTACACCACATGACTTCCTTGTACGGAATATTAAATCATACGCATTTTTTCTTGCATTTCATTTAAACTTATTGGATTGAATTAAATCTACTTCGCCGAGAGCGCATAAGCCACAATAGAATAAATGCATTCTTTAAAATTCACTCTAGTATTTGTTTACCATAGCGACACTCTGGAGCTAGATTCACTTAACAGTATTATATTTCGTTCATATTATAACTCATAATGCACAAAATTTATATCATTTAAAGAATAGAATTATCTAATCGTTGCCACAATGTTCTATTCAAATACTATAATAGAGCTAGAATGATGTATAAAAGAAATTAAGCAAACAAACAAAAAAAAAAAAAACAATTTTTCACAGACGATTGAGTATTTCCATTCAATTAATTCAGTTCTCACTTCGCGAGAAGGCAAAAATACATAAAAACTCAAAATATCTGTATTAAAAATTACGAAGTAAATCTTAAACACTTATTTCCTCGAAAAAATTCCAGAAAGGATTAAGCATAACTTAATTCGCAATAATAAATGAAGGCGTTATCTTTGTTGTTGCGAAGCTACGTTTCTCTAGATTGGCAACAAATCCATTACTGTTTCAAATGCAAACAAGCAATGGCCGCCATCAAAAAAATTATTAAGCTTAGCGGCACTTAAACAACTTTAAAATTGTTGATAATTCTAAAAATATTGCACACAGATTTACTAAAGACGTAAAAACCTTAACCGGAAGATAAGAACAACATATTTCAACCATTTTTAAAGCAAAAAATGTACAACTTACAAACATATAAGAGTAAAGAAACTGAGATCACTGAGCCTGGTAATAGAGTGGATATATATATATATAAATATATTTATATACGTATGGTGCGGCCGATTGCAACCAAAATACGAGTTGCACATCTAACCTGTTATAGCAGTCATTATTACAAAATTTTAACGTTCGAGGCTACTCGTTTTGAGTTATGCGATACGTACGTACGTTCGTACAGACGCCACGAAAAATTCTCTTCAGAATTAATTTTAAAGTAGTTTTATAATTTTTTTGGAGGAGACGAGTCTTTTATTCTGTCCTTACGTACAGATGTCAGGCAAAAACATCGTTAAATTGCATTCGATAGCGGTCAAAATGGATATTTTCGTTGAAATATGCTACCTGAAACTTTTCGCGATTACAATACTTCCTTTTTACTTTATAAGGAAGTAACAACCGATTTCAGACGTTAAAACTAATAATTTGTATGAGAGCCAATAACTTTACAGGGCTGTTACCTGAAAGTCTGGAATGGCTAAATTTATAATGGGGTATATAATATATACATAATGTTTCTTTTTCTTCTGCGTGTCATATATGTAGGATATAATTCTATGCAAAGTTCCCGCGAGTTAACAATATTAAGAGATTTTTCGCAGTTGGTCTCTAAAAATCAAATGTGAGCTACCAGCACCTAAAAAACTTTAAGGCTTCTGAAAAAATATTGTTAAGCATTTGAAAAGGTTTAATGTTACGTATTGCTGAATGCGATCGATGGCTAATAGCCATTTTCGACGAATGTATTAAATTGCAAATGTCTAGCCATTTGAAATAGCAACAACGTTTTGCATATACTGCGTTAGCTAAGGAACACTTTTATTCTATTCATTTCAAGACGCGTTAATTTGTATTATTATTTGCGTATGCTTATGTAGCTGAATATAATATAACGCAAAGGTGTTCAAATAGAAGAAAATATTTATAAAATAATTAATACTTACTCCGCGTCTTCTTTTTCTATTCAACATTTGACAGCTATCGTTGCTTTGAGTCGGTGTTCTGTAAATAAAAAAGAAAAATTCTTTCTATATTGCAGTTTAAAATTAAACTTGTTGCTATAAACTATAATGCACTTCAAAATTAAACTTTAGATTTCACGATTGCGTTGAGATTTATATTTTGCCCCTCTTATATATGTTTTTGGCAATGTATGAAATGACGGCATTCTATATACAATGCCTGCCGTTTTTAGGAAATGTATAAAATATGAAAATTATTATATACTTACCCTAGGCATTGTATATAATACCTAGGTATTTTATAGAATGACAAATGCGATTTGGGCAAAGTGAGAAATAAAGGTCATAATAAGCTATTATTTCATTCCTTAAAAATACAAATGTTATTTTGAAAAAGTAATGAAAGACTGCCATTAAAAAACTTATTATTCTATATACGTAAAAAAAATCAATAAGATCTACCTGACAGCGGGAATTAAATTAAGAAATATGATTAGGTTTCACAATAATGCCCTTTTTAATACACTTTTTTGTCTGGCAAGGCTTAAAAAGGTAGATGTACAATTCAATATCATTCCGTATTGTACATCATTTTTGTATTTGGTTTAAAGTTCCTTCAACATTCTGTCACAACCTTCGTGCCCAACAGCCTAATTAATTTCATGAAATATGTTCAATAGCTGACGCCTTCTTTAACATGATAAATGAGTTTACTTTTGCTTTTCCACAAACATCACATCATTTATATAAATATAACGCTGATTTCTGTTGTTTGTCTTCTAAAGTAATAAAATAATTGGTTAGTAAAAAATAATGGTAACTTTCTTAAAACATATATAAAGCAAATAGACATAGACGCACTTAATGTTGTAGGAATATTGATACCACAAAGCGTGTAGAATGCTGGACATCGTAATAAAGCAAACTTAGAAGTAATCAAAAATGGGAATTTTGATTGCATAGAATGTTGATCCATATTGAAAAGTAAATTGGCAGCTAAGGCAGATTAAATCTTCATTCTTATTCTAGTAAACATGTTGCGCCACAAACAACTTGGTACAATACTAGTGCCTATTTAAAAATGTTTGCATTTTTAATGGTTTTGCAGTAAGAAGAGAACAGCAGGCAGCAGTCAAGCTAGGCCGAAATGTAGAAAGCAAGTGCAGTTGTATTCAGGATGAAATTTTATTTAATTCAGAATGAGCTAGTTTTAAATCTCCATGAATTTGATTGAGTAATTAATAACGTTGTAAAATTATTATTGGCTGTTTGAATTTCAATTCCATTTAGATCATAAGTCTTATGATATTGTTTGGTTTCGAAATGGCGCAGTCCAGAAAAAGAATACTATTTTTGGAATTGAGAGGGTAATAAAATGGGAATAATTTTTAAATTTAATAAAATGGGAATAATTTTTAGAGACAGGATCTTGCTAATTTAAATTATAATTTATTAGCCCAAAGGACGTTAGCCTAGAACTGCTATTAATTTCGTTTTGACATTTTACGTTGGTTCACTTTTCAAATTGTTGCCGCCAAATATTAGATCTCTGTGTTGCATTTAAAGAAATTAAATAATGAAGAAGCTGCATGAATATATGTATCTTTCTCGCACTGTGATAAAACAACAGTACCTAGAGCCATCCAATTTTGAATAACGTAATCTTCCACTGAATATGGGCATCTGGAAGCTCCAATTTGGAATTTGATTTATTATCGATTTCATATTTTGTAACACTTCAACGAATTTTATCTCCAGCGCGCGAGACTGTGTATCGGAAATTCTAAAAATATGCTCATGCCATATTGCTGTTGAATTGAATGTTATGGTTTAAGTGCGAAGTACATGATCTTCTATATATATAAAAGGAAGAGTCTGTCTGTGTGTGTGTCTTTCGTTCGTGCTTTGCGCATAAGCTAATAGACCCAGGGCTACGAAATTTTGTACATAGGTGCATCTAGACAAGAACTAGTGCATATCGAAGCGATTTTTCCAAAATTCGAAAGAGTGTTTTTTATTTTATATTTTTTGGTGAAATCGCATCAAATCGATAATTATCTCTCATTATATGAGCACCAATCGCACGCGGCCATTGTTGCTGATATATCACTGTTGCCACTCGGAAAAATGAGGGCGATAATTCTGTGCAGTTTTTTTAATTTAATGTTTTCTTGGTATGGCGTTTGTCGAGAGAAGGCAACGGGAAGTTGGTTAATTATTTATTAGATAATAATATTTGTATTAAGGGACATTGCTTATTTCACTGTAATTTCTTTTATATTTAGTACATTTGCATTGAATTTCCCCCCCCCCGATACATTTAAAAGCCAGACGGGCTGGCCCGTTATAGGTTATATTTATAAATAAAAGTAGCACACAAAACGTTAAAAACAAAAAACGCCCCTTTGGGCGTAATGTAAAATCTGAATGCTTTCAGATTTTATTTTTTTATTTACATATTTTTTCTGCTTATGAAAGAGAGATAGAGAGGAATTGATTCGTAGAACCGACAGAATTATAATTTTTTTGGCATTCCTACCGTCTGTAGGAAAGTAAATACTAAACACGCATTGAAATTGTATCAACAATGCATGCACATAATGTGAAAAATGAAAAGAAAATCATTATTACATTCAATAATAATATTCAGATAATAAAAATATAAGACACTATTATTTAATTAATGAGTATTTTAGATGATGAGTTTTACGGTCCACATATTATTCAAAATTTCTTTCGAATTTTGATTTCGACTAACGGAACCCCGAAAAGAGTTGTAAGGAATCCTAGGGTTCCGCGGAATACAGTTTAAAATTTTACCACCAATTTTTATCTTTATTCCTTATCCAACTTTCTTTTGCATTTTCTTGCTTTTTCACTGCTTAATGTTTTATCACATTATGTTAAGGATTTTCTAACTTTCCGCTTGTCGATTTTTGTATCATTCTCACCTCCCGATTTTACAACAGTTCAAAGCATAAGATTAAATGGAGAGATAAAATAAACTTTAGGAAGAAATTTTAAACTGAATTAAAATTTTATGAAGGAATTTTCACTTTTTTTTTGATGAAAAGAAACATAGAGAATGCATCACTATGGCGACGAGGAAAATGAAAGACGCTATGGATGAATGATATTTTATAGAAAAGAGATGGAAAAAAGATTTGACTAAAACAAATTAGATTATTTAATTATTCGACAGCAAACTCAATTTACAAAATCAGCAGATTTTTATCAGCAGACTTTAATTATCTCTTCATAACGGTCTTCTAAGAAAGCTGCTCGGATTTACACGGCAAATAAAAGTACAAACATTCTAATGCAACCATACTATTAAGTCGGGAATAGAACTCTGGCTATTCCCATTGATGTATTAAATCAACATCATTCGTTGATGTGCCGATGGTTAAAAGAAGAACATCGGCTAGATCAGAGTTAACGTGAAGGATTTAGCAAAAAAAGAAACCTAATACACAGAGCTTAAGTTCAGCAAAATATTTCTCTTCCTGTACAAAAATGTTGTTATATTACGGGAAATATAGAACAGAATTTTATTACTCATTTATTTCTTCAGTCTAATTTCATAATATGGAAGTATGCGTGGACTTGTTAATTGTAGAGCTGATTTTAATGTCATTCGACGTTAAGTCATAATATAGATAGATTTAATAGAACATAATATATTATATTACTCACAGTACTTTGTTATTTTTAGAATTTTCTGAATCCTCACCTCTTTCCTCAATGTACATGACAAGCTAACATCACTATTATTAATATATTCATCATTTTTAAAGCGTTCCATATCTAAAACATATATGTAACTCCTTTTAACATTCTTCCACAAAAAAGTGTCATAATACTTAAAAATATATATATTATGTAAAAAAATATGAAGTTTTCAGATTTTATATGATGCCCAAGGGATGTTTTTTAAGTTTTGTGTGTACCTTTTTTATTAAATATCATGTTCTTCGCATTAAACCACATAAAATTAAACTCAATAGCAATATCACCAAATATTTAAAAACAACATATCTTTAGAATCTCGTATACACAGTCTCGCGCGCTGGAGATAAAAATGTTTTTTCTGTACAACGTTGCCATTGCTCGCTTAAATCTGTGTGTTAATCAAAAATTCGTTAAAGTTTTACAAAATTTGAAATAGATAATAAAACAAATTCCATACTCGAAATTCGTGCTTTTAAGTACCCATGTTCGGTTGGAGGATTACGTTACTCAAAATTTGATGACTCTAGGTACTGTTGTTTTTTCACAATGCGAGAAACATTCATGCAGATTCTTTATTATTTAGCTTCTTAAAATATAATACATTCTTAAATTCAATAATTCTTTAAATATAATACATGGCGATAATATTTGGTGGCAACAGTTTGAAAATTGAATCAACGCATAAAGTGAAACGAAGCAAAGTGCCGTTTTGAGACTCATTGGCCTTAGGGCTAACAATAACAAACTATGCGCTCAACATAAGCTCTATCTGAGACACAACAAAAGCATTTCCAAGCAGAAAATACTGATAGTAATGTGGAATATTGAATATTTGTTGAAGCGAGTTCCTGTCTAACAATATAAAATCCAACTAACATGACAATAAGAGATTGTTAACAATAGTATGAAAATGAATTGAATTATCACTTTTTTCTAAAAATGATTCAAATAACGATATTAATTGCTGTTAAAACTTAGACTGCAGTTTTAAATGTTAATTAAATAGTAATTAGAGTTTGTTATTTAATCTCTTAATTACGCTCAACCGAGTTAACTGGGGTTTAACTGTAGTGGGGGATTTTAATGTCATTTACCGTTGGGACAGCAGAATAGAAGGTAAATAATATGCATGTGCATGGATATATTTATGTAATGCACATAAACATAAAACTCAACAATTTTTCTATTTGTAATATAAAATTTGAAACATGCGTTGAAATATAGTATTAAAGAAAATAAATTAAAAAAATCCGAAAGTTTTCAGATTTTAAATTACGTCCAAAGGGGCGTTTGTTTATTATTT